TTGTTTTTTTTATTTTATTTATTTTTATTTTATGTGTATGCGTGTATTGCCTGCATGTAGGTAAGTGCACCCATGTCGTACAATGCCTGTGGAGGACAGAAGAGGCTGTCAGATCCCCTGGAACTGGAGTTACGGACAGTTGTTAGCTGCCATGTGGGTGCTGGGATTTGAACCTCGGTCTTCTGCAAGAACAGTCAGTGTTCTTAACCACTGAGCCATCTCTCCAGCCCAATTCCCAGCTTTTAAGTCCTATGAAGGAGTGGTGGCCATCCATCATCCAGGCTCTGAGCTTGTCCCTGCTTTCAAGCAATCATGTGTAACCTGTTCGCCTGCTGTGGATCCTGCCCATCCAGGGCCGGAATGTCCAGGACAAGCCAACCTTCTTCATGTGAGGGGGCTGTTAGGGCCTGATTCTGGCTGCTCTTACACTGCCATTCTTCCCTGGTCTGGGCTGACTACCCAGGGTTATACCCCACACTCTGCCTCCCATAACATAAGCAGGTTCCCATGTCCAAATAGCTCTCCTCAGGATTCCTGCTCTTCCCCACAGCACAGCCAAGGCCATTGTGTTCACTTGACCCCCTGCAAAACCAGAACTCTCTTAGTCCTTGTCCTTCAAACTCTGACACTTGGGAAAAAAATACCCCATGCTGCTCCAACGTGTTTCATGCCAAGCAGCTAGATGCTGCTAGAGAAAATCACCAGGTATCGAAATCCCATCTGGCAATCAAGGGGTCCCGGGGTGCAGTGTGCATCACTCCTCCTCCTCCGTTGCTAGCCATAGTAAGATCCAGAAGGTCAACCAAAATGGAAAACCATGTTAGGTCCTTACCTTATAACAGCCCTTCCCTGGTGGAATAAAGATCTAAATGTCAGAAGGAAAATGAGGGCTGCAGATATAGCTCAGTTGGCAGAGTGCTTCTATGGCATACCCAAGACTCTGATTTTGATTCTCACCATCACATAAACAGGGTATGGGCACACACCTGTAATTCTGCCCCTTGGGAAGTAGAGGCAAGAGGATTCTGGATTTAAGGTCATAATTATATAATAGCAAGTTTGTTTGTGTTTTTTAAAAATATAATTTATTGAGAATTTCATACATGCATATAAGGTATTTTGGTCAAATTCATACCCATTCCCTCCCCCTCCAACTCCTCCCATATCTCCCCATCACTTTTTTCTGATAACTTCATCATCAGAAGTACTCTTTCTTCTTCTTTTTGTTTGTTTGTGTTTTAAAATGGGGTCTCACCATGTAGCCCAGGCTGGCCTCAAACTTGCAGTCCTCCTGTCTCAGTTTCCTTACTGCTTGGATTACAGGCACATCTCACCATGCCTGGCTAGTTTTCTCTTTGAATTCTTTATATACCAGAACAGAGTTTCTTAATAGTTTGTTCATGAAATCTAATATACGTACAATACCCAGTGCTAGCTTGTGGTGGGGTGTTGTATTTATTGAACAAAGTCTCATGCACCTTAGGCTCAACAAAAACAACACCCCACCTGTTAGATTTAGAAGGACAGAGAAAGAATACTTTAGGTAAAAGACCAGAGACAGACCTTCAACAGATTGAACAGAGGATTTATTCAGCAAAGGTGACACAGCTTCTCTGCAGATAAGCAAGCTGTGCAAAGGTATGAGGGGGTGGTACTGAATTATATATGGCTAGAAAATGAAGAAGGTGTGCGCGCGCACACACACACACACACACACACACAGCTGTGAAGTCTGGGTTGACGTGTCCTCTGGCCCTTTTCCTGGAGTTGTAGAACAAAGAAACTGTTTAGCTCAGTTGTGGCTGCTTTGATAACGGTGGAGCAAGGACAGCAGAGACATCCTGGCAAGAGGAGTGGGTTGTCTGGCTTCTCTGCAGCTGTGGCCCTCCACCAGGCCTGAGAGAGGGATGTGACTAACTATTAACAGTGGGGCTAGGGCGAGATATTTATCTCAGGGAACTTCTGGTTCCCAAAATATAAGTAAAATGACAGTTAAGAGCATGGAGGAAGACACATGTTTTACCTCAAGGGAAAAAAGATTTTTTTTGGACTGTCAGATAATGCCATTTATTAGTTCACACTGAAGTTAGAAACCAAGGCTATAGTCCTGTTAAACACCTCCCACCCCACCCCTCAAAAGACACCCCAACCCTGTTAGAAAAAAACAGAACACGACAAAATACCACCATTTGGGTGGAACCGGGTAACAACAAAAATAAGACAGAAACACAATACAGAGCATCTCTGCACATTATAAAAGAGGCCATGACCCTGGATGCTGCCAACCAAGGGCACTGGGCTCAGGACAGCAGCTGATGCTGGCCATGGCTTCTGGGCTCTGCTGAAGGAATTGGGGCTGCTGGTTTGAAAGTTCATGCCATTGGCTGGATGTGCTTTCAGTGGAGGGAGCATGCACCAAACATCTCTCTCCATTGCCAGAGAGAGAAGGGCATAGGGAGACAATAGGAGTCTCCAAAACTTCATGGCCCATGAGAAGAGAGGTGAAGTCCCCTCTCCAGAGAAAAGGCCCTTCATTGGACACAGTTCACTGCCCCTGTGGGTCAGCTCATTTGCATTCACATAGCATAAATCCACCAGAAAGCTAAGAGTGAGGACCCATCGGAGACGCGGTGCTTGGGACAGGTTAGCGCTAAGCTGGAGTTTCCCTCTGGGTGTCTCTGCAGGGGCGGGGTCTTGCACTCTGCGGCGGGAGAAGCCCCTCCATCTGTGAAGGGCTCTGGTCCTGGTGCTCCTTTGTCAGCAGCCTCTGCAGCTCCTCAAACAGCTCAGTGTTGAGCAGAAATGTGGTCTTAGCCTCCTCCATAACCCTGTGCTTGACCGCTGATGTCATTTCCAGAGTGTTCAATGCGTGCACGGTAGAGGCGCTTGAGCTTGGTGGGGCTTTCGATGTTGGGGAAAGTGAAGAAGACCAGGCCCTCACCGGAGCTGGGCAGGTTCAGGGCCTTCTGTGCAATCTTCTTCAGGACCTGGCCCCGGGAGAGGTCTCCCAGGTAGGGTGTACGCATGGGCTACCAGCAGCTCAGGATGTTTGTGCCCCACCTCGTGGAGGTGCCTCGCAAAATTCTGTGTGGCTGAAGTGTAGGGGATGGTCTTCTGCCAGAGGGGCCCATACCAGAAGGCCATGTCCTGCTCCAGGGCAGCCTTGCGGTGCAGCTCCTCAGGGAAGTAGAGGGGGTGCGTAGACCGGTTCTGCTTGTTGCACTCAGTCTCCTCTTCGAGGGCCACGTAGACACGATACAAGGAGGCCATCACCAGCTTAAAGCCTTCCCAGGTCACCTGGCCCTTCTGAAAGTTCCTCATGAACTCAGCATTCTCTGCCTGGGTATGCACCAACTTGGTAGCCTCCTTCAAGGCCTCAGACAAGTCCTGGGACATGCTTGTGGGCTGTGGGCGCTCCATCGCCGGGCTGGGCTAGCTCAGGCTGGCTCTGCTCGGGCTGGGCTGCAGGCTGGCTGGAGAAGCCTGGCTGTGTCCGGTTCTGCTTCTCTCTGCAGGTCAGGAACAAAGATTTTTTTTT